ACCTTTCTGAGGAACAGGGGCTGACGTGGAGAAATTGCCTTTCTGAGGAACTGAGACTGACATGGAGAAATTGCCTTTCTGAGGAACAGGGGCTGACATGGAGAAATGACCTTTCTGAGGAACAGGGGCTGACATGGAGGAATTACCTTTCTGAGGAACAGGGGCTGACATGGAGGAATTACCTTTCTGAGGAACAGGGGCTGACATGGAGAAATTACCTTTCTGAGGAATTGTAGTTGACATAGAGAATTCATTGTGCTGAGGTTCTGTGGTTGATGTAAAGAAATTATTTTGTTGAGGAGCTGTGTTTGACATGAAGAATCCGTTGTGCTGAGGTTCTGTGGTTGACATGAGGAAGGTATCTTGCTGAGGAACTGTATTTGATTTGTAAAGGTTCTCTGGCTGGGAAACTGTGGTCAACATGGAGAATTCATTTTTCTGAGGTCTTTTGGCTGAAACGGAGAAGTAATCTTTCTGAGGTGCTGTGCTTGGAGCATGCGAGTCAAATTTCTGAGATCTGTTTCCAGTAGACTTAGTCAGGGTTGACAATGTTTGGGAGAACTTTGCTGTTGGAATCGCATCATTAATGTGCTCGACACTCTGAATTATGATTGACTCTTTCATTGAAAAGCCTGGCTTCAATTGATTATGGATATATTCTGTTTCTTTTTTCTGCATGGGAGACTCTTTGGAAGGGTTGGGAAAAGCATTAAGCATTGTTTTAACAAGACTTTCAAATGAAGAAAATTCTTTCTCCTGCTTAGAAATGTTCTTTTGAATCAGGGCTGTTGACTTTTCTGTCTGAGAATACCCATTCGTAGTTTGTTCAGGTGAGTAACTAGATATGCCTTCAGATTTTCTAGTGACAGCTACTTGATTTTCTTTCCAAGAAACCTCTTTTGATCCTTTCTTGTTAAGTATTTTTTCACAGGTTGTTTCTATTTTGTTCCTTATATCTGATCTTTCTTTTTGTGACCTGTGAGCTTTAAACCTCAAATAGTCCTCAAACATCTGGTAAAAGAGCTGCAGTTCTCGTTCTACATCAGATGAAGCATGATGGAAGTCTGCTGAATCTACCGGATCAAGATCTATGCCCAAAGTTTCAATGTTCAGATAAGGGAGACTATCACCATTCATATTGCCATTGTTTTGGGTAACGTAAGGATCACTGTGCTCAGATTGGTCGAATATAGATTGCAAATGTTCCTCCTTAGCTATGTTATTCATCAAGTCACCAGTGTCTTCTAACATATTTTCCAAATACAATGGCATAGTTGCATTTTTCACGTAAAAGTCAAAAATTATATCACCCAGTGTTCCACTGTCACGACTGAAGCGTCTCAGATCTTTTGGAACTGCATCAGAAACAAATACAGATTCAGTTTTCTGCCTCTAGATCAAGCTAAAGGTGAATCTAATTTTATTTCCAAACTAATGAACACATCAAATTAACTCAATAAAATACTTGGTGCCTTTCACAACTCAGGAAAATTGCATCCTTGGATCAGTTGTTAATTTTAATTTTGATAGACTTCCTTATTCATAGACCCGAACATTTGTAGCACAGAATGAGGCCATTCAGCCCAATGCGTCTACATTGGTCAACAAAGATTTGACTACATTAAACCTATTTTCCAGCATTTGACCCAAAAGGCCATAAGATATAGGAGCAGAATTAGGCAATTCAGCCTATTGGATCTGCTCCACCTTTCGAACATGGCAGATATGTTTCTCAACTTCATTCTCCTGTCTTCTCCATGGAATCCTTGATTCCCCTTACTAAGCAAGAACCTTAAATACATGCAACGACTTAGCTTCCACAGCCTTTTGCAGCAATGAGTTTCACAGATTAATCACCCCTGGCTGAAGAAATTCCTCCTCATCTCAGTTCTAAAAAGGTTTTCCCTTCACTCTGAGACTGTGCCTTTTGGGTCCTAGTCTCTCCTATTAATGGAAACATTTTCTCCAGTCCACTCCATCCACACTGCTCAATATTCTGTAAATTAAAGTGAGAACCTCTCTCATCTTTCTAAGCTCCATCGAGTATAGACCTGGAGTTCTCAACCACTCCTCATACGGCAAACCATTCATCCCCAGGATCTCTTCATAGATATAAGGCACAAAACTGCTCACAACTTTCCAAATGCAGTCTGACTAGAGCTTCCACCTGTGCTCTAACCCTCTTGAAATTAACGCTAACATTGCACTTGCCTTCCTAACTGCCAACTGAACCTGAATGTTAACCTGAAGAGAATCCTGAACTACAACAACTCTCTTTTACTTCCAATTTCTGACGCCTTTTCCAGTTTAGAAACTAGTCAATGACTCGTCTTCCTACCAAAGTGCATCTGCAAAGCTACCAACAATACCCTCACTACATTCATCCAGATCCTTAATATATAATGTGAGTATTTGTGGACCAAACACTGACCCTTGCAGAACTCTAGTAGTCACCAGCTGCCATCCTGAAAAAGTCCTCTTTATCCCCACTGTCTTCTTTCTGCCAACCAATCCTTTATTCATGCCAGTACCTTGCCCCTAACACCATGGGTTCTTCTCTTATTTAACAGCCTTCTATGTAGCACCTTGTCAAAGGCCTTCTGGAAATCCAGATAGATTATATTCACTGGCTCTCCTTTGTCTAACTTGCTCATTATCTCAGAATAACAGAAGTCCTACAGTGTGGAAGCAGGCCATTTGGCCCATTGAGTCCGCAGCAACCCTCTGAAGAGCATCCCACCCAGACTCACCCCGACTACCTCATCCCTGTAACGCCACATTTCCCATAGCTAATCCACCTAACCTACACATCTCTGGATTGCAGGAGGAAAATGGAGCACCCAGAGGAAACCCAGGCAGACAGTTTTTTTTTTCTTTATTCATTCCCAGGATGAGAGTGTCGCTGGCTGGGCAGCATTTATTGCCCATCCCTAATTGCCCAGAGGGCAGTTAAGAGTCAACCACATTGCTGTGGGTCTGGAGACACATGTAGGCCAGACCAGGTTAGGCTGGCAGTTTCCTTCCCTAAAGGATGTTAGTGAACCAGACTGGTTTTTCCAACAATCAGCAATGAATTCACAGTCATCATCAGACTCTTAATTCCAGGTATTTATTGAATTCAAATTCCACCGTCTGCCATGACAAGATTTGAACCCAGGTCCCCAGAATGTTATCTGGGTCTCTGGATTAACAGCCCAGCGATAATACCACTAGGCCATCACCTCCCCGTAAGTTGCCGTGAGTGGAATTGACGCTGGGTCCTTGGCGCTATGAGGCAGCAGTGCTAACCACTAAGCCACCGTGCCGCTCTCAAAGAATATCCTCAAAGAATTCTAACAGATTTATCAGCCGTGACCTCCCTGTGACATAGCTGAGCTGAGTCAACCCTATTTTACTATGCACTTCCAAGTATTCTGTAATCTCATCATTAATAATGGACTCAGAATTTTACCAATGACTGAGATCAGGCTAACCAGCCTGTCGTTCCTGTCTTCTGCCTCCTTCCCCTCTTAAACATGGTGTTACATCAGCCGTTTTTCCGTCCTCTGGGACCCTCTCTGACTCCAGTGATTCGTGAAAGATCATGACCAATGCTTCTACAATTTCCTTCAGAACTCTGGGTGTAGTCCATCTGGTCAGGGTGATATATCTACCTTCAGACCTTTCAGCTTCCCCTTAGATCTTTTGAGTGATGGCCACTATGCTCACCTCTGTCCCCTGACTCTCTTGACGTTCTGGTGTCTTCCATTGCGAAAACTGATGCAAAGTACCTATTCCTCCTCTATCATTTCTTTGTTTCCCATTACTACTTCTCCAGCCTCATTTTCCAGTGGTCCAGTGTCCGCTCTTGCCTCTCCTTTATGTATCTAAAAACCATTCTTGCAATCTTCTATTATATTACTATGTAGCTTAGCCTTATATTTCATTTTGCCCCCTATAGCTTTTTTAGTTATCCACTGTTGGTTTTTAAAGGCTTCCCAATCCTCTAGCTTTCCACTAATCTTCACCACATTATATGCTTTTTCTTTTGCTTTTACGCTGTCCCTGGCTTCCCTTGGCAGCCATGGTTACCTTGCCCTCCCCTTAGTAGGTTTCTTCTTGATGTGGAGGTGTTGCTGTTGGACTGGTGTGAACAAAGTCAGGAGTCACACAACACCACCTTATAAGGTTGTAGACTTGCTCGCTGAGCTGGTGGGTTTGATTTCAGACGTTTCGTCACCCTGCAAGGTAACATGGTCAGTGCGCCTCCGGCGAAGTGTCAGTGTTCTGTCCCACTTGTTATTTATATGCCTCGGTTTGCTGGGGTGGTTGGTATTACTCCGGTTTTGTTTCTCAGTGGTTTGTACACGGGATCTAATTCAATGTGTTTGTTGATGGAGTTCCGGTTGGAATACCAGGCATCCAGAAATTCCGTAACGTGTCTCTGTTTGGCTCGTGCGATTATTGACTGGGACAACACATCCATAATAGCACGAGTCAAACAGAGACACACCAGGGAATTCCTGGAGGCCTACTATTCCAACCAGAACTCCATCAACAAACACATTGAGTTAGACCCTGTCTACAAACCAAGGCACAAGCGGGAGAGAACACCGATGCTTCACCGGAGACACACTGGCCATGTTACCTAGCAGGGTGACGAAACATCTGCAACCAAACCCACCGGCTCGGTGAGCATGTCTACAACCTCATCCACAACCTGAGATACAAATCTTCTCAAACTTTAAACACCATGTTATAGTCCAACAGATTTATTTGAAATCACAAGCTTTTAGAGAGCTACCCCTTCGTCAGGTGAAAGAACAAAATATGATTTTTCTTCCTTGGGATGAATTTCTGCATACTGAATTACCCCCAGAAACCCCTGCCGTTACTTCTCCATTGACTTCCCTGCTAGGCTCCCCTTCCAATCAATTCTGGCCAGCTCCTCCCTCATACCTTTGTAGTTCCCTTTACTCAATTGTAATACCGTTACATCTGATTCCAGCTTCTCCCTTTCAAACTGCAGAGTGAATTCTATCATATTATGGTCACTGAACCCGAGAGGTTCCTTCACCTTAAGCTCCCCAATGAAGTTTGCCTCATTACACATCACCAAATCCAGAATTGCCTGCTCCCTTGTGGGCTCTACCACAAGCTGCTCTGAAACCATCTTGTAGACATTCCACAAATGATTTTTCTTGGGATCTGCTACCAACTTGACTTTCCCAGTCCACCTTCATATTGAAGTCCACCATGACTATTGTAATAGTGTCTTTCTTACATGCCTTCTTTATCTTCCGACTTATTTTCTTCCCAACTACTTTTCCATTGTGGTTCCTCAACTCTACCCACATAGATTCTATGCCTTTTGACTCTGTATCACTTCTTGTCATTGATTTAAGTTCATTTCATATTAACAAGACAACCCTGCGAGCCCCTGCTAATCTGCTTGTCCTGTCGATAGTACTCACACACTTGGCTATTTAGCTCCCAGCTCTGATCCCCTTGTAGCCATTTCTCCAGGATACCCACAACATCATACCTGCCAATTTCAATCCTTGTTTCAAGCTCATTCATCTTATTTCATATACTGCGTGCATTTAAATACAACACCCTCAGTCCTGCATTGACTGCTCCCTTTCTTATAGTTGTCCCCTTATCTGCTGTGCCTGAAGTTAGACCCCTAATCCTTTCCATAATCTCTGTCTTATTACTTGGTCTGGAAAATTTAGTAACCTCTGCTGGGCCCTCCCTCTCCTTTACCTTTTTCCATAATTTTCCATGCATCTGAATCTACCCTCACTATTTAGTTTAAAGTCCTACCCACAGTCTTAGTTATGCAATTCACCAGGACTCTGGTCCCAGCATGATTCAGCCCATCCAGAGCCCATAGCCCTATCAAAACACAGATATTTAAACACTGCTTAAATATTACGAGAGTTTTTGGTTTGCAGACCATCAAAGATGAGGGATAGAGGGACTAAATTAAAACGGAGTTGGAAGGGAAGATAAAACATTCTATCCCTCTAAAGGTGTACTCCATCTCTAAAGCACCTGGGCACAAATGTAGCCACAGAAGCTTCCTCTTGTGTGTAATAATGGGTCATTAGTGGTCCTCCAGCCCTCTGGCACCTAACTTGTGACCGGAGAGGATTGGAAAAATTACTGTCAGGACCCCTGATTATTTCCTGCCTTGGTTCCCTCAACAACCTTGGATATGTATCATTCGGCCTGTGGATTTATCCACTTTTAAGGCTGCTAAAGCCACTTGTACCTCCACTTTCTCTGCTAATTTCTTCTAACATTTCACAGTCTTCCTCCCCAGTGTCAATACTTGTGGCCTCCTTTTCCATTGTGACAACTGACTGATTAC